TTAGTGAAGCAGGCAGGTCGCGCTAGAAAATTTTGTTTAAAAAGACGTCATAAATGTGTTCCCCCGTCATTTTTATTTATAAAATATGAAGTAAAAACTCCCAATTTAATTTTTATTCATTTGTCATTAATATGTAGTCTACACCCGTGCGTTAAGTGGACCATCTTCCAGCAAAAGCAAAGCTGCAGCCCACCTCTCTAAATGCGTAAAATGTGCATCAGTCGCTAGTTAGGCGTGCCACGCGCACCATCAGCTCCGTCAGCCCAGACAAGAGCAGAGCAAATAGAGAAAGAATAGAGGATAATTCTGTCTGGATGTGGATGGAGATTACATTTTACAGCAGCCTGATCATCATTTAAATACGTAAACCATCACCTGTCTTCTAGTCCACGCTATCAGCATTATTTTAATTGGTGTGTGTGTGTGTGTGTGTGTGTGTGTGTGTGTGTGTGTGTGTGTGTGTGTGTGTGTGTGTGTGTGTGTGTGTGTGTGTGTGTTTTCCACTTCAAACACTGGTCTAACCAACCAGACCAGTGTGTCCAGTAACATATTAATGTTACAATTAAACAGTTTCACTTCATGTAGGCTAGGAACGTTTCACCTGCCGTGGCCCGACCGCTTCTGCTCCACATAAACTTTGTGCGTGATCAAATGTCTCTACAGGTGCTTTCTGAGCTGAAGAGCTATTCTGCCTCAGACTGGATGCGTCATGCGTCTCCATATTAGAGACGGGAAGCGCGGTTCAGCCAAAGTTTCATAATTTCATAAAAAGAACATTTTTCCAAGTGACACGTCCCTCAGAGAGACCGGGTTTCCAGACCGCTTCAGTGGGAGGAAATCTTATCGCATGCACTGTGGTTCTGCGCTGCGCTCTACAGATCTTCAGCTCACTGTCCACCGTGGGCGCTCCGAGCCGCGCTGAACACAGTGTCCAGTATTTACCTTCTTGTGAAGATTGTTGCAAAGAGAAACAACTAAACTTGATTAACCCCAGAGCCACACGCACTGCGCTGTACTTCTGACTGTAAATGAGGGGAAACGATTTAATCGGATCCTTTTCTTTTCAACATGGTTTAATGTAAAGCTTCATTCAGTAAAAACTTTAGTTACACCGATCTAACGAGACAGAGTCTGGATTTGTATTCTGAACAGTTTAAACATGTTTAAAACGGAGACATGCGTGACGCATCTAAAATTCGCACCTGCTCCGCTATTATGGAAATTAAACTAAGATGAATAACATCAAATTATTTTAGGCACAGACAACATCCCCCACAATTTTGAAAAGTTTGCAACGCGCCTGGCCGCTCCTGTATGTCAAAGTTATCTTTCATAAGACGACTATCAATAAAACGATTTAGATAAAATGGACCCCTTCTATATTTGGTATTTTTCACCCTGTTGATGGTTTTACTGAGCAGGTGCCCCTTTTGTCATATACGTTTCTTTTTAAAACGCTGCGAGCACAAGCGTGACGCGTCAACCCGGTCACACAGTAAGACCGGGTTGGGCCTGTTCAGGTTTACGCAGATAATCTTTACATTTAGAATTGGTAGAATTTACAGGTGTAAAATTAATGCAGTAAAATATAAAGCATTTTATTTAAATATCCATTCATCATTTTACAAGCACAGAGAGCCGCATCAGATGGAAGAGCCGCAAGAGGCTCCAGAGCCGCGGGTTGCCGACCCCTGTGCTAGCCTACTTTATTGTCCCCAGCAATTTTTAAACCCCACTCAAGTGTATGGTTATTGTCCCCAGCAATTCTGAAAACAAACTGACGCCCTTGATTGTGGTAGTTATACTCCACCATGATACAATCCAATATAAAAACTCCACCCAACAAACCAGCTGCATGACTCACACTTGCCTTTACCACAAACCATAACATTTCAGATGGAGCAGTTTTACATAGTTTATTTATATAAAACATTACACAAACATTTAGCTATATGCCATACCAATAAAAACACAGGTGAAAATACAACATGCCAAGTTTTCTTTTGTTTTCATAAAACACCAAAAACAAGTGCTATTATAATTATTCTTCCAATAATTCAATTATAAAAAGATTATTATTAAGTAACAATGAATATAATAATGACTTCATAATGAACACTGAGTTCTGAAAGAATGAAGAACATACTGTTTTATCTTTCTCTAAGCAGCCATGTTTAGTTTGTCTCCCCCTGCTGTCCATGAAGTGACATCAGAGTTTAGATTCTGCCCTTTAGAGCCCTACGTGATAAAAAGGCTGATTAAAACATGTCAAGTTGAATATTTCCTGTTAAGATTAATATTTTTTATTCTTAATTTGTGCAGAAATTAACAGCATGAACAATGATGAATGATGGAAGCAGCACGGTGGTGTGTTGGCTCAGCTCTTGTCATCATGTGACTCAGTGGATTTTCTCCCACTGTGTTGGGAACATCGAAACCACTAGATGGCAGCACTGATTTGTATTGTCTCTTCTTTGGATGTTTCCAAAAGGCAGCACTGGTCAGTCACCACCTAATATCTGCTGCCCCAACATATTTAATGTTGTAAAGATAAAAAATTCTGTATATAATTTGTTCGAATGCTGTACACTCTTTTCGGTTCCTGAGATGAGTAACTTGAAGTTTTTGTTACTTTCCCACATTTAGGGTTTTTCCAGGGTCCTGTCCAGCAGTAAAGAAATCAGAATTGTTGTCTGAGAGCAAAAGACAAGCCTTACATTTTACTGCTGTACGCTGTGTATCCTGTAGTATTTCACCAGAGAGGGTGTTCGCCCAGGGCACCAAACAGGCTAGACCCGCCCCTGGAGAGAGGTATAAGCCCCATTCCTCTTGTCCAGAGTGGCGATTCGTGGCTCTGCCTCGACCGTTGTCATGTGACTTTGCAGCTCACTGAGTAAAGTTTAGAGCTACACCTCCTTCTCCATCAGGGAGCTTAGTCGGGTTTGTTGGCGGTCCACTATGGCTCAAAGTTTAGTGACTTCCATGATGTCAGAATAAGGACAGAACAACCTCAGGGATGTGTCATTAACTTCATGACTGGGGAGGCACTGACTTTAGAGTAGGATAAACAGATAGATGAACAATGAAACACATGTAACTCACTCGTTGTCCACAAGATTTTTGTTTTTAAATATTCAAAGAGATGTTCACTAGTTCGCCCTTCTCTTATAGCATTCTCCATTCTGATTACTTTTGTTCAGGTCTGATGGTGTTTTGTATCACTGTGTGTATCTCACACAGTTATAAACAGCTGTGTTTTTAATTTAGAAAACAAACAAAAACATATAACCATTCAGGACAAGGTCTAATTTGTTGGGTTTAGAACAAGGGTACTGGCCTTTCTTTAGCTTCTCTTCAAAATATTTGATTCATCCAACTGTTTTTAAGCTGATTTTAACCTGTAGCTTTAGAGCTTCATTAATCAGAGCCAGTTTTCAGATTAAAGCAGCTTTACACATTTTCAGTAATGTGATCCAAACATTAAACTTTTGAACCAGATCCTAAAGACCATCAGGGCGGGGATACGGGGCTTGATCTAAAAAGATTGCATTAATGGAGCTCTCTACTGATCTAAAGCCGGTTAATTTGCATGTATCTGCAGGTATTATTAAAGGGGCTAGGATTTTACCCTGTAATCAGTGGGTTGCTGGTTCTGATCCCAGCGTTTTGTGCTTTTGGGCAGGACTACTAGCCCAGACTCTGCAGCAGCTTGTCTTCTGCCAGTGTGACCCAGGGCAGCTTTGGCTACAATGCAGCTCATCACCATCAGTATGTGAATGATTGTTTTACAAAGCTTTGAGTCTCTGACTTAGAAAAGTGCTATAAAAATGTTTTAGCAGGTTGGGCACAAACAAAAGATGGTCTTTCAGAAAACATGAGTGAAATTTAATTAATGCATATTTTTTATTTTCTGTTTGTGGCAAAATAATTATAGTGTAATTAATGTCTTGTGAAAGTATTTTTGGAAGACGATTTATTTTCTTCCTTAAGGCCTCAGTGGATGTGGGCCCTGGACCTGTGCCCATAATGCCCAATCTGAGAATAATCTGGCACTAACCAATTTTTTTCCGTCTTCTGTCTGGCTCTAAAGCAACAGAATAGAATCAGAATCAGAAGTTTTTATTGCCATATTTGTGCCAAGTCACAACATTAGGAAATTGCTGCGGTATTTTGGTGCAGAAGGTAAGATAGAAAAAAATTAATTAAGAGATAAGCAAATATAAGAACTAATAAAACACTCATGATAAAATTATTAATGTAAAAAGTGGCAAGAATTAGAGAAGCAGCTATCTACTCCGTGTAGGTATTAATCTGAGAATTTGTTGAATGGTTCAAGCACAGCATCGGGTCACGTGACTGGGACCAATCAACTTGAGTGGGCTGCCCTAGGATTTTCATTCAAATAGATGTCAGAGACCCAAAAACAAGCCTTACAGTTTTAGACTCACGAATGGAGCATTACAGCTTAGTCTAAAATTCCATTGCTGATATAGGGTTTCTCTGTAGGAGTGTCCAATAGTTAGTCTTTAGGTTTAGTTTTATGTTTTATATAGTTTTAGGTTTATCTGCCCTCTACTGGTTCCCTTCCCCATCCAGACAATTGATGTCACCTGCCTTCCCTCCAGCCTCACTCCACACACCTGCTTCCTGTTTCCCTAATTGCTCCTCCCTGTCTATATAAGCCCTCCTTGTCTCATTGCTCTTGTCCGTCCATTGTTGTTTGTCAGTGTTGTCTTTGGTGCTCTGTGTGAGCTTCCTGTCTAGTCCCCAGTTTGTGCTCTAATTGAGCTTTGTTCTCCTGCTTTTGGATTTCTGGATTTTGGGCTCCATGCCTTTGGATTTATTTTTGTTCATCCTACAATAAAAGGATTTTTTAAACTTTATTTCAACTCCTGCCTCATGTCGTCTGGGTAATCTGTCTTTTGGGTCCCAACCGTCCTCTCAACATGACAGCTTGTGGAGTTCTCGGGAGACCTCTGTGTGAACTCGGGCCTGTTTAGATTCATTTAGCATTATTTTGATAATATAACACAGTTATATTCAAAGTTCGAGTTTATGGTTCACTTTAAAATATTCTGAGTTAGATAGAGTACATGAATCTCAGTGAGTTCCCCCTGAATCAGTCGATTGAACATATGTGTAATAACATTTTTATTAAAAATTTCCATAGCAAATATGCTTCCTTACTATTTTGTCACTTTGCAAACGTAAAAAGTATATTCATGTTTTTAAAAAGGCGATTTGCAAAAACAAGCCATTTTCCATTTAAGGAGAAGAATTTATAATACATTGGGTTTTTGTCCAGCTGCCCCACTGACTTCAGTCACTGTGTCTCTCGAGCACAATAATAAACAGCAGAATCTTCAGTCTTCAGACTGTTCATCTGCAGAAACAGCTGCTCTCTGCTGTTGTCCCTGGAGATGGTGAACCTGCCTCGGACTGACTCGGAGTAGAAGATCCTATCACTGTCATTTTCTATGATTGCGATCCACTCTAGACCTTTCCCAGGAGCCTGTCTGATCCAGGCCATCCAGTAGCTGCTGAAGGAGATTCCAGATGTTGTACAGGTCAGTCTGTGGGATTCTCCAGGTCTTTTAACAGCTGGTTCAGATTCTGTCAGAGTCTGGCCAGAAACACCTAAAATACAAACAAGACAACAAACTGTTGGTAATAAAAACACTCATTGGTGAATGAAAGTTCATCAGGGATCATCTTCACCTGCCCAGCAGAAAGATAAAAGCAGCAGCAGCAGCCTGGTTCTGTGAGCCATCATGTCAAACTGTGATTCCTCTGAGGGTCTGTCCAACTCTCCACTCAGATATAAGTAGAGGTAGAAGACGTCTGAGGTGTTATCGACTCCTCCTCCTCAAGGCTAAAAAGGGTTGAATTTTCAACCTGATTTGGTTACATTTTCATAAACTCACCATTTCTTCAATTATTGGTCTTGTTTGCTTTCTTTAGTTGTCTAATAAAAAAAACGCTCAACAGAGAAGATGTTTTGAAGCAGCTGTTTTAACACCTAACAAGTTCAGCAGACTAAAGTGAACGTGTTGTGAGTGGAGATGGAACATAACAGAAGGTTCTAGATGTGAGATGGTTTGTTTTGTGTTTTTGTTTGTCTCTGGTAAAAATGACCCAACAGCGGTTTTATTTCTTCACTAAGGGACACTAAGGGAAAATGCTCTGGTAGCAGAGCTTTTAATATAGTTTCATTGAAAGCACCTTTTAAGCAAGTTTAAAGCTGTTATAACAAATCTACAGAACAAGCTAGGTTTTGAACGTAAACATGGTTACAGAACACTCACCACTCCCCTCGGGTATCTTCCCTGAGACGCTTCTGCTGGAAACTGGAAACCTGGAAACCTGGAAACCTGGAAACTGCGATGCCGGAGGATACAAGAGAGCACTAAAGACCAGTTGCCATTTTCTATGTCCAAACGTGTTTTGTTGTCCGTGATTTCAAATGGTGCTTTTCTTTTTGGGACTCAGGTAGTTTGTCCAAAAGTTAAAGTGGTAGCAGCCGTCTGTTTCTCCTTCTTTTTGTGAAACGTTCACACTAGTGATGTTCTGTTACACAAGTGCGTAATGAGTGGAGGACACAAGGACGTGCGATGGTTCGCCGAGACCAAGAACCAATTGTTGGTCCGAAACGTGTTATTGGCTGAGGTTTTCAGAGAAATGCGAGAAAAACACTTTTCTACTTTTTTTAATCTTCATGATATATTTATAGCTATACTATGTTAGAACGTTGTTAAGGGGCATGACAAAAATCTTTTAGGATCATTGGCTTTTGAAATTTGCCATTACAGCTTAAAATCAATTGCCCAAAAAAATCAAAGCATTTTCTGCACACAGCAAGTCAGCCTCCTGACTAAATTTGTCAAGCTCAAAATTTACTTCACTATTGAGCTTTTTCTATTTCCTACTTATAAATAAAGGATGTAAAATATGTTTGAAAAAGAATATTTAATTCAGTCTTTAATTGATCAAATAAATTCTCCTACAAATAAAACAATAGATTTATTGAAAAACGAAACTCTTTAGAAGCTCCTGTTTCTTTGGCTGTTTTAACTCAAAGACAGCTGCTGGGTTTGTGATCAGCTCTGTGGCTTCCTGTATCACTGCAGCTCTTCGGGCACAATAATAAACTGCAGAGTCTTCAAGCTGCTCATCAGCAGATACACCTGATCCTTGTTGTTGTCTCAGGAGCAGTTCTGCACTGATGGAGAATAACATATGATGGTTCCACTGGTAGCAGAAATGTGTGCGACCCACTCTGGTACTTTTCCTTCAGCCTGTCTGATCCAGCTGATCTGATATTCCTGCACATGTACAGGTCAGTGTGTGGGATTCTCCAGGTCGTTTCAGCGCTGCTTCAGATTCAGTCAGAGTCTGACTGCAAACACCTGAGAGACAAACAGAGAGATCAGAAAAGAGACAAACAGCAAACATGAGAACAGAAGAGAACGTGCAGATTGTCATGAAGGATTGACATGAACCAGACAGGAAGTGATACATTTGCTAGTGAGTAGCATCTAGTATATTCCAAAAGAAATCCGTGTGGCATTTAACTTTCCAGCTTTTTTGTTATTATTAATGACAGATATATGAGTTCACAGAGCATGATAGTTTGTTATTTTTACAGGAATATCTTTCAACAAATTTCTAATCAGCAGGTACAGTCTGCTGGCAATGACCTCTCCTCTGATGAAGACCCTGGAGAGGCTGGTTGCTGACCTACTTTGTCTCCTGGTCAGGTCTCAATCATTACCAACCAGGCCGGCATCACAATGGTTTTTCCTCTACAACAGGAAGGATGTGAGATATTCTTCCTGCTTTGCAGTAGCCTTTATTGTATAGACCACATGTGCTTAAGCACCAGCGTGTAAATTTTATAAGAGGTTTCAGCATCAGTTCCACTGTCCTGCAGAATGTAATTGTACACTACAGGTCCTAGTAAAGATACAAGAGAAAGGAGTTGATCCCCTCCCAGGGCTCAGCTATGAGATGTAGATCTGCTAAACTAAACCAGGACTTTTGGTGAGGATTATTTTCAGGCATGCGTGTTTGCAAGTTGCGTGCATGCACAATCACTAGATACTACATGTAGCACAAACAAAAACATGGTTTCTGCCAGAAAACCTTCTGCTACAACTATGCAGCTTGTTTAATCAAAAATAGAGTAGACAATTATTTTAACAACAAAAAAAGCATTTCAAGGGACTGACATTTGGATGGTCACTGGACATCTCATGAAACACTGCTGTCCATGCTGCTGAAACAAAACAACTGGAACACCTGCATCATTGGATGATGCCTGACCACAACTTTTTTTCCTCTCTCAATGTCACCAGATGGGCATACTTTCCCCACAGTTTGTTAGATCACAGGGATGTGTCTCTTACAAGCTGATCTGCAGGATAGGGCACCACAGGGATCTCTGCTGGTACTGTTCCTGTTCACTCTCTACACCTCAGACTTCTCCATGCGTTTGAGTTTTTTGTTCAATGTTGAGCCTTTTATTACTTATTCTTCTTATTTTTGTTCTTCTTTGGTCCTGTTGAGAGTGTGATTGCTGTCCCCACTGTTCGACAATAAATCGACATTCTATTCTATTCTATTCTATTCTATTCTATTCTATTCTATATGTAGTCGTGCACATCCTTTAGACAGCAGACTTAATGGGTGGACAGGAAACAGGTGTGTGTGCAGCACAGAGTCATGCCTGTAGTCAGAGGTAACAGCAGGTGGAGGAGGAGAGGAAGAGGCCACAGTCAACTGCCTAAATCTGTATACCCCTTTAAAATAATTTCTATCTGTAAACTGTCAGGCTCTTGACCTGATCCCATCCATTTTCTCTTGGACATCTCTGATACGCCCACTCCAGAGGACTGTCTCACCTTGATGAAATCTGACCAACCGTTCTTTTCGAAATGACTTCCTTAATACTTTGTTTATTTTATTTACTTTTGTTAATTATCAGTCTAGTCCAATAGAAACAGGAACTGAGGCTTAAATCCAAAGAACAGGTCACTGACAGATTTGGATACTAAAGCCATGAAGAAGAACATGCTGTCCTTAGTGAATAATCTGTGTTAGTAAAGATCCATATGTCAGAATACCTGGGATTACAATAAATGGACTTTCTATTCCATTCTATGTCTCTAAGAATTATGTCTCGTTTCATCAGCAAGCCTGTAGTTACAGTTTCATTAATCAGAACAAGTTTTCAGAGTGTGATGAAATGAGAGGTTATTACCATGCTTTCGTTCTTTTTTAAACACAGAAACAGTATTGTTTACCTGTTTGTAGCTACGGTTTCGCCGACAGCTGCCGGCTTCTTCAGGCTGACGCTGGTGGTGGCGCGTCACTTCCTTCTCCGTTTATCTGTAGCGTATACCGTAGCTACAAACAGGTAAACAAAACTGTTTCTGTGTTTAAAAAAGAACGAAAGCATGGATTTACAAAGACACAGCAAGAACACACCTAAGATGTTCAAAGAGAGGTTATTACATTTTTAATTAATGAGCCATAAGGCGTGGGATTCCATAGGAAATATAGAATCCACCTTACGGATCGAGGGTTATTTAAACCAGAAGATTGGATCTTTTTATTGCAGAGATTAGGTAACCGTTATGTATTCACTCAGAGACACAGAATAGAGAGAGTCAAGCTTAAAAGTTAAGAATTTTATTACTAACAAATTAAGCTACACTAACTTTAAACTAAATGTATAGTGTAACTAAAATGGATTAGGCGGTGAATGGATGACATGTGATGTACATCAGAACCAGCAAATCCGAAGAAGCGATTAGTTCTGACGAGAACTGAGGATGTAGTTTTGAATTAAGCTTTGGTTATTTTCAGAAACACATGAGACACCATTTGCCGGTCTACCTTGCCTTTGGTGGAAGTCCTCTGTAGATCAGGAATATCGAGGTCCGGTGAACCCTCTCTAGAAACCGGGCCGGTAGGAGAAGCCGCGGTTCCGTTCAGACCTGTCTTGAGTTACCTCCGGCACACGACACGTTTTTGGCGTCTGGTCAGACCCAAGCCTGGGTCGGTGGATGGAGCTTTTAGTCTGAAAGGAGCTGTTGTTGCCGCTAGTTGTTATAGCGACTGGATTTTTCAGCTTGTTATTGGTTCTTTCGGTTGAAGAGTTAAAGGTCAGGATTGGCCACTCTGTCGCTTTCTCTGGAATGCTTTGAACTGGCGTTAGAGCTGACGTGGCATAGTTTTATACCTCGGATGGTATGGTTTATTGTCGAATGAAAATTACCAAACACCGTCAGAAGCACGCCTCTGTCAGATCTGTAAGATTCTGATTGGATCAGTGAAAGGAATGTGTTATGTCCTTTTAACACTACGTGAAATGAGTCCTGTTGGAACACTTAAAGTCACAGTACTTATTATTTCTATAGGATCATAATAAAGTACTTAATATTTTAATTTCACAGGTCGGTCACATCTTATTATATGACTAACAGATGTTTTGATTAGCTTTATTGAAAATAGAGTTCTTTGGTTTTTAATAAAAGAAAAGAAAGGAGTCTTCATCTTCTGTCTTCAATGCTGGAACGTAAACAGTTTAGAAGCGAATGCATGACCTTGAGGCTGTTTCATGCACTCTGGCATTGTGTCAAAAGGGTTGTTAGAGGATAAAAACCCTTGGAAATGGCTCCTTCATCACATTACGAGAGTAAAATAGCTTTACATGTTTTCATGTTTGAACCGTCACCTTATCGTGGTGGAGGAGTTTGAGTGCCCTAACGATCCTAGGAGCTATGTTGTCTGGGGCACTTTGTGCCCGTGGTAGGGTCTCCCATGACAAATTGGTCTTAGGTGAAGGGTGAGATAAAGAACGGTTCATAGGATCTTTCATGAATGTAAATTCAAAGAGTTGGAGTACCCGGCCTGGAGGGTTACCGGGGTCCCACCCTGAAGCCAGGCCTGGGGTTGGGGCCCATGAGCGAGCAGCTGGTGGCTGGGCATTCACCCATGGGGCCCGAATGGGCCCAGCCCGAACCGGATACATGGGCTCATCCAACTGTGGACCCACCACCCTCAGGAGGAACTTGAAAGGTCCGGTGCAGTGTGGATCGGGTGGTAGACCGAGGCGGGAGCCTTGGCGGTCCGATCCCGGGACAAGGAAACTGGTTTTTGGTACATGGAACGTCACCTCGCTGGTGGGGAAGGAGCAGGAGCTTGTGGCAGAGGTTGAGCGGTACCGGCTAGATATAGTCCGACTCACCTCGACCCATAGCGTTGCCTCTGGAACCCAAGTCCTTGAGAGGGGGTGGACACTCTCCTTTGCTGGAGTTGCTCCGGGTGAGAGGTGGAGGGCTGGAGTTGGCTTTTTGTTAGCCCCAAGACTCTCTGCCTGTGTGTTGGGGTTTACCCCGGGGGACGAGAGGGTAGCTTCCCTGCGCCTTCGTGTCAGGGAATGTGTCTTGACTGCTGTTTGTGTTTATGGGCTAAATATCAGTTCAGATTACAAACCCTTTTTGGAGTCCCTTGGACGAGTGCTAGATAGTGCTCCATCACGGGACTCCATTGTCCTGCTGGGGGACTTCAATGCTCACGTGGGCAATGACAGCATGACCTGGAGGGGTGTGATTGGGAGGAAAGGCCCACTTGTTCTGAACTCGAGTGGTGTTTCATTATTGGACTTCTGTGCAAGCCGCAGTTTGGCCATAACAAACACCATGTTCGAACATAAGGATGCCCATCGGTACACTTGGTACCAGGGAAGCCTAGGTCGCAGGTCGATGATAGACTTTGTAGTTGTATCATCTGATCTGTGGCCATATGTTTTAGACATCCGAGTGAAGAGAGGAGCGGAGCTGTCAACTGATCACCACCTAGTGGTGAGTTGGATCAGATGGCAGAGGAAGATGCCGCGTAGACCTGGCAGACCCAAACGCACAGTGAGGGTCTGCTGGGAACGCCTGGCAGAAGAACCTGTCAAGACGGTCTTCAACTCCCATCTCCGGCAGAGCTTTGACCGTGTCCCGAGAGCAGTGGGGGACATTGACTCCAAGTGGGCCTTGTTCCACTCTGCGATTGTTGAGGCGGCTGTTGGAAGCTGTGGTCGCATGGTGGCCTGTACCAGTCGTGGTGGCCATCCCTGTACCCACTGGTGGACACCCCAGGTTCGGGGAGCTGTCAGGCTGAAGAAGGAGGCCTACAGGGCGTGGCTGGTCTGTGGGTCTCCGGAGGCAGCAGACAGGTACCGGATAGCCAAGCAGGGTGCAGCAGTGGCAGTTGCTGAGGCAAAATCTCGGGCGTGGGAGGAGTTTGGTGAGGCCATGGAGAAAGACTATCGATCGGCTCCAAAGACGTTCTGGCAAACTGTCTGGCGCCTCAGGAGAGGGAGGCAGCAACTCGCTCACACTGTTTACAGTGGGGATGGGGAGCTGCTGACGTCAAATGGGGCTATAGTCGGACGGTGGAAGGAATATTTTGAGGAGCTCCTCAATCCCACCTACGCGCAATCCGAGGAGGAACCAGAGCCGGGAGACCTGGGGATGGACTGTCCAATCTCTGGAGCAGAAGTTGCTGAGGTAGTCAAACAACTACGTAGCGGCAGAGCCCCGGGGGTGGATGAGATTCGTCCTGGGTATCTCAAGGCTATGGATGTTGTAGGGATGTCGTGGCTGACACGTCTCTGCAACATTGCGTGGTCATCGGGGCAGTTCCTGTGGAGTGGCAGACCGGGGTGGTGGTCCCCATCTTTAAGAAGAGTGACCTGAGGGTGTATTCCAAATATAGGGGGATCACACTCCTCAGCCTCCCTGGAAAGGTCTACTCCAAGGTACTGGAGAGGAGGGTCCGATCGATAGCTGAATCTCAAATTGAGGAGGAGCAATGTGGTTTTTGTCCTGGCCGTGGAACTGTGGACCAGCTCTATACCCTTGCAAGGGTGATGGATTGGGCATGGGAGTTTGCCCAACCAATCCACATGTGTTTGGGCATGGGAGTTTGCCCAACCAATCCACATGTGTTTTGTGGATTTGGAGAAGGCTCATGACTGTGTCCCCAGGGGCAACCTGTGGGGGACGCTCCAGGAGTATGGGGTGGGTGGCTTTCTGTTAAGGGCCATTCAGTCCCTTTCTCTACTCTAATTTCCCTCTGGGCTTAATAAAGTACCTTTGATTGATTGATTGATTGATTGATTGATTGATTGATTGATTGATTGATTGATTGATTGATTGATTGAGTGATTGATTGATTGATTGATTGATTGATTTATTGATTGATTGATTACCAGAGGAGCGTGAGTTTGGTCAACATTCTGTGAAGTGTATTTGGTGAATGAGAACTGGTGTTGGACACTTAATGCAAATATTGTTCCATTTCCTTGTACTTAACAGGACAGAGAGGCTGGCTCTCCTGCTCTGTGGACCACTGGCTCTGAGGAGGTGAGGGACTGACCCCTAGCAGCTGGAGGAGAACACAGTTTAGAGGAAAGCAGACATCAGAGAGGTCCTTTTATGGGCCATTCCCATCTGTACCGGGTCGGCCCGGGCCGGGTAGCCCCAGTCGGCCCCAGCCTGGCCCGGTTGATTCCACACATCCTTGTCTTAAGCCCATGTGGGCTGATTCTACCCACCAATCAGAGGCTTGCTCTAATGGAAGGTGTGAATTTGCTGTCAGCAGTGGGTGTGTTGGCCCTGGTCGGCCTGAAGCAGACCCCCTCGAGAAGAGGGCCGAGAATGAGCCTTGGTTGGCCCGGAAAAATACCAGGCCACCCAGATATGTAAACAATCTACGCTACCTGGCCCGGGCCGACCCGGTACAGATGGGAATGGCCCATTATTCTCTCAGCTGGAGACAAACTTCACTCACCCGAAAAAAGAGTCAGAAGAAGGAAACTCTGCAGGAGCATCATGGTGACGACTGAGCCTCAGAGAGAGAGAGTGTGTGTGTGTGTGTGTGTGTGTGTGTGTGTGTGTGTGTGTGTGTGTGTGTGTGTGTGTGTGTGTGTGTGTGTGTGTGTGTGTGTGTGTGTGTGTGTGTGTGTGCGCGCGCATGCTCTGTCTTCTCGATCCCCAGTGAGTCGTGGAGGATGGCTGCTTATACTGAGCCAGGATTCTCTGGAGGTTTCTTCCTGTTAAAAGGGAGTTTTCCTCTCCACTGTCGCTTTATGCTTGCTTAGTATGAGGATTGCTGTATAGTCACTGACACTAGTCAGTGACTTGATGCAATTTACTGGGTTCCTTATATAGGAAACATTATTTCTGATTGGCTTAATGAACTGTGAATTGGAATGTTTATTATGTGAAGTGCCTTGAGACGACTCTTGTCGTGATTTGGCTCTATATAAATAAACTTGAATTGAATTGAATTGAACTGACCTGAATTGGAATTTTTATTATGTGAAGTGCCTTGAGACGACTCTTGTCGTGATTTGGTGCTATATAAATAAACTTGAATTGAATTGAATTGAATTAAACTGAAGGATGTTTAAAGCACCAAGAGACAGGGTGGGGATTCATTTACATATCTGAATATGACAGCAGCATTTTACATGAAAAAGCTGTTTAGTGATCATTTTATATGCAAATATTTGTGTTAAAAGCAACATTATATGTTTCAGATTATTCTTCATATTGTTTATGATAAAAATGGTTAATGTGATTGTAAAGCACATAATTAAGTCAGAGGACTCCAGAGCACCACAGGCAGGGGTTTGATTTTTGCATTAACAAGAGTCCCTCTGCCCTTAAGTCTGACATTTGGTGCTTTTTTTTTTTATTCATGTAGCATTTTATTAATATCATTAGGCATTATTCAGAAAAAGTAAAACACATTTTTCCAGCAGATGAAAAAGTGTTATTGTAGTATGAAAAACTTATAAAGTTTTTTATTTATTTTGTTTTCCAGTTATTTCTCTCAACCTGTTGAACCGCTGGAAGGACAATCAACAAAATACTTGGATTCTTGAAGAATTTACCCTTAAAGGTTGTTGGTTATTCTGGGAATTTAATTTCTTTTGTTGTGTGTGTTACAGCGTGTGGGTTTAAAATGAAGATTTCAACGCTGCGTAACCCATTATATAATAAAGTCCACTGGTCTGGGAATCATTAATGGACTGAGAGCTCCTCTTCTGGTGATGGATTGCATCTGCCTTCAGACTCTGAGGGGTTTTTGTTCAGCTGTTCTGATGTTTGTGTCACTGTGGCTCTCTGGCACAGTAATACACAGCAGAGTCGTCAGGCTGCATGTTCTGTCCAATCAGAGTCACTGTTTTACTGGAAGAGTCTAAATCAATGCTGAACTTGTTCTTCAGCGACTCTTTATAGTGAGAGTTTCCAGTAAATTTCATCCCGATCCATTCCAGGCCTTTTCCTGCAGGCTGTCTGATCCAAGCTGTCCAGTAGTCACTGAGAGAATAAGAGACCTGACAGCTGATGGTCAGACGCTGACCTGGCTGCACATTCACAGAGGCTGGCTGAGTCAGCTGTTCACTCTTCACACCTGGAAAAAAAATCATTTTATGATTATAAACTATCAGTAAATGTTTATAGAATAATCTGAAAACCCAAAACTGACCTTGAGCTGCTAAGATCAGCAGCAGAGCAGCAGAAAACATGATGCCTGATGACACAAACATCCTGTGAACTCGACTCTAAACTGATGAGACATTTTATAGCAGAAAGGAGGAGCCTGAGTTTGCATTGAATCAAACTTAAAACCCAACAGAGTTTGTCTGATGGGTCTCAGCGGAAAAGTTCAACCGTGGAAACAGATTTAAAACCATCTGCTACAGTCTGAACGGTGATGGGTGTCGACCACATGATGAGTTATTTTAGTAAAAATCCGTTTCTATAGAAAAACCTTAGATCAGTGGTTCCCAAACTTATTTAGCCGCGCACCCCCTTCTATGTCCCGACCATGTCAACGCACCCCCCCCCCCCCCCCCCAGCCCCCACATCGGGGCATGGCTCTATATATATATATATATATATATATATATATATATATATACATACATATATCAGATGTCAAGCTAAACAGACAGGGTTAAAAAAATTCCCATCACTTTCATTTTTTAAATAGTAATTAATAAACATTTGATACCATTACAATTTCCTTTGATTTCATTTTAAATAAATATTTAGAGTGCCCAGGTAGCACATCAACAATGCAATTTAACGGTTTTCTTAAAGTAGGAACGTTTAACCTGTGCGGCCAGAGCGCTCTCCTTCCTTCTGCTCTGCGTAAACCTGAGCTGGTCACCTACTTGTGCGTAATCAAATGTCTATAGGGGACAAGATATAGCCATGATGTTCACTTTTACCTCAGACCGACTTATTGCTGTTTTATGGTGTGGCTGAATCTGCGATCCGCTGCCACGCTGACTGGAATAACAAATGCTGCAGTAACATGAGTTGTGGTCAGGTTCATGAGGAGTCACTGGCTGGAGCGGACCCGACTCATCCCAGAAGCTAATATCTTAATTTGACCTTGAATGAAAAATAACCTCTTAGAAGTTTTTATCACGGTGGAGGCAGCGTTCATTTCTGCCTTCAGTCTGACGGCGCGCCGGAGTTAAAGCAGCGTGTGCGCTTATTGAATCTGTGTGTGTGTACACACGGAACATATCAGCGTGCGCAGGCCAGAGTGCTGAAGCTCGGTGCATTGTTATAATGAAGCTAGGGCACATGTGGAGGACACGCGCGCGCAAAAATATACTTGTTTTCAATTACATTTATTGTGCCCACTTACTTTTTCTTTGGCCCACCCACAAATGACTTTCTACGCTAATAGTGACATATGACAGACTTCTCTGAGCTCTGCAGCCATTACACTTTTCACCTCGCGCACCCCCTAGCGGCAGCTCGCGCACCCCCAGGGGTGCGCGCACCACACTTTGGGAATCCCTGCCTTAGAGAACAAGGAGTAACAATAATTCAGACACCATGAAGAACAGTTTCCAGTTGGGTGACAGACGACTGTGATAAAAACAGGAGTGGAGCGGAGATCCAACATGAACAGAAGAAATAAAAACTGAATCAAAAGTTAACAGAAGGTCTGATGTTCGTGATGAGGTGACTGATGGACCTGATCTCAGGTTAAAGCTGGTCTGGGACACAGAAGGATTTCAGAATTTATTCAGATCTCATAATCTAATATCATTTCAGGGGCTAATAATTTTATTTGTTTGGGATTTTCTTACAATTAAGCCACAAATGTCCCTTATTTCACAGGTTTTCTCGTAAATACATAATAAACATAACATAAATAATAAAACGGCTGTGGGGTTTTATTTGGCAGAATGCCATTACTATGTAATTGTTTTATCTTCCATAGATGAGCAAATAAACAACACATGTTCTGTATTTGGTATAAAACAGGAAGTAGATTTAGTACGTCTCCTGTTTGTGTCTCTCACTGTGTCTCTCTAGCGCAGTAATAAACCACTGAGTCCTCAGTCCTCACATTGTTCATCCGTAGGAAGACTTTATTGCTGGAGTCGTCTCTGGAGATAGTGAAACGACCTCGAACTGAATCAGAATAATGGATAGGAGGACTAGAAATGTGCACCAAAGAGATCTACTCTAGTCCTTTACCAGGAGCCTGTCGGATCCAGACCCACACTGAGCCTCTAAAAACAAATCCAGATGTTGTGCAGGTGAGTCTGTGAGACTCTCCAGGGTTTATAACAGCCGGTTCAGACTGACGCTCCAACCTTCAGCAGCACTGAAGACAACCAGAGTAACCAGATGGAGGATCAGATCTCTGTCGGCCATGTTGATCTTCTGCTCAGTCAGATCCACATATTCTACTTTTACATGAACTGATGTGAAGTCAGTCTTAGTGTTTGTTTACAGAAGCTCCTCCCACATCCTGTTCTAGAGGGATTTTGAGTTGGACCTGAAAAGCTGGCTGAGTCAGCTGTTCACAGTTCACACCTGAAAAAGAGCACATGTCGGGTTTACGACACAGCAGATCTGGAGAACCTGAAATAAACAAATAAATAAATAAATAAATAGACGTAAGTGATCCAGCTGCCAGCAGCTGCAGCAACGTGAAAAACAACATGATTTATGTGTCAGAAGAAGCGATTCTTATCATTTTAAATCTGATTTCAACTGAAATCCAAGCATTAATGAATAAAACTGAATTTGCATAAAGACCCAATAGAGAAGAATCATTTGAATTCATCTGTGTAGAACTTGTTGGAAGTGTTTTTAGAATTAGATGTGCAAAATCCTGACTTGCGCTGCTGAAAACAGCTCATTATTTTGGTGAAAATGGGCTCATGTCTGTTTAGATTCATTTAGTTTTCTCGTAATAATGAAACACGTTTACTTTCAGAAAGTGTTTTTATGATTAACTTCAAAATATTCTGAGTTGGAAACAACCATAAAACACGATATATTAAAGTGTCATAAAACTGCTGTTTTAAGAGTCTCATTATAGAAAATGTGCTTCTTTATTATTTTCCCAAATTGCAAACATTTAAAATTCACAATGTTTTTAAGGTAAATTATCTATAATGACTCAGGTTTTTGTGCAGCTGCCCCACTGACTTCAGTCACTGTGACTCTCGAGCACAATAATAAACAGCAGAATCTTCAGTCTTCAGACTGTTCATCTGCAGAAACAGCTGCTCTCTGCTGTTGTCTCTGGAGACGGTGAACCTGCCTCGGACTGACTCAGAGTAGTAGTTGGTACCACCGTTAGCATCAGTAGCGACCCACTCTAGACCTTTCCCAGGAGCCTGTCTGATCCAGGCCATCCACCAGCTGCTAAAGGAGATTCCAGATGTTGTACAGGTCAGTCTGTGGGATTCTCCAGGTCTTCTAACCGCTGGTTCAGATTCTGTCAGAGTCTGGCCAGAAACACCTAAAAATACAAGCAAGCGATGAAACAGTTGGTAATAAAAATATCTCATTGGTGTCATGAATGAAAGTTCATCATCAGTGAGAGATCATCTTCACCTGCCCAGCAGAAAGTTAAAAGCAGCAGCAGCCTGGTTCTGTGAGCCATCATGTCAAACTGTGAGTCCTCTGATGTTCTGCCCAACTCTCCACTCAGATATAAGTAGAGGTAGAAGACGTCTGAGTTTTATCGACTCCTCCTCCTCGCAAAAATGTTGGATTTCCAACCTAGTTTGGTTACATTTTCATAAACTCACCATATTTTCAATTATTGGTCTTGTTTAAGTTTTTTTTATTAACTAATTAAGTAAAATATCTCAAAATAGATATTTTAAAGCAGATTCTGTTTTAACAAAACACAAACAAAAATATCTTTGTTTTTGTTGGTAAACATTTTAAATAATCATATTAATTTAATACAGTGGGGCAAAAAAGTATTTAGTCAGCCACCAATTGTGCAAGTTCTCCCACTTAAAATGATGACAGAGGTCAGTAATTTACATCATAGGTACACTTACACTGTGAGAGACAGAATGTGAAAAAAAATCCATGAATTCACATGGCAGGATTTTTAAAGAATTTATTTGTAAATCAGGGTGGAAAATAAGTATTTGGTCAATAACAAAAATTCAACTCAATACTTTGTAACATAACCTTTGTTGTCAATAACAGAGGTCAAACGATTACTATAGGTCTTTACCAGGTTTGCACACACAGTAGCTGGTATTTTGGCCCATTCCTCCATGCAGATCTTCTCGAGAGCAGTGATGTTTTGGGGCTGTCGCCGAGCAACACGGACTTTCAACTCCCTCCACAGATTTTCTATGGGGTTGAGGTCTGGATACTGGCTAGGCCACTCCAGGACTTTCAAATGCTTCTTACGGAGCCACTCCTTTGTTGCCCGGGCGGTGTGTTTGGGATCATTGTAGTGTTGGAAGACCCAGCCACGTTTCATCTTCAAAGCTCTCACTGATGGAAGGAGGTTTTGGCTCAGAATCTCACGATACATGGCCCCATTCATTCTTTCCTTAACACGGATCAGTCGTCCTGTCCCCTTAGCAGAAAACAGCCCCAAAGCATGATGTTCCCACCCCCATGCTTCACAGTAGGTATGGTGTTCTAGGGATGCAACTCAGTATTCTTCTTCCTCCAAACACGACGAGTTGAGTTTATAACAAAAAGTTCTACTTTTGTTTCATCTGACCACATGACATTCTCCTAATCCTCTGCTGTATCATCCATGTGCTCTCTGGCAAACTTCAGACGGGCCTGGACATGCACTGGCTTCAGCAGCGGAACACGTCTGGCACTGCAGGATTTGATTCCCTGCCGTTGTAGTGTGTTACTGATGGTGACCTTTGTTACTGTGGTCCCAGCTCTCTGCAGGTCATTCACCAGGTCCCCCCGTGTGGTTCTGGTATTCTTGTTCACCGTTCTCATGATCATTTTGACCCCACGGGATGAGATCTTGCATGGAGCCCCAGATTGAGGGAGATTATCAGCGGTCTTGTATGTCTTCCATTTTCTGATAATTGCTCCCACAGCTGATTTTTTTCACACCAAGCTGCTTGCCTATTGTATATTCACTCTTCCCAGTCTGGTACAGGTCTACAATTATTTTCCTGGTGTCCTTCGAAAGCTCTTTGGTCTTGGCCATAGTGAGTTTGGAGTCTGACTGTTTGAGGCTGTGGACAGGTGTCTTTTATACAGATAATGAGTTCAAACAGTTGCCATTAATACAGGTAATGAGTGGCGGACAGAAAAGCTTCTTAAAGAAGACGTTACAGGTCTGTGAGAGCCAGAGATTTTCCTTGTTTGAAGTGACCAAATACTTATTTTCCACCCTGATTTACAAATAAATTCTTTAAAAATCCTGCCATGAGAATTCAAGGATTTTTTTTCACATTCTGTCCCTCACAGTTGAAGTGTACCTATGATGCACATTACTGACCTCTGCCATCATTTTAAGTGGGAGAACTTGCACAATTGGTGGCTGACTAAATACTTTTTTGCCCCACTGTAGTTGAAGCAAACCTGCATTATTTACATTTATTTTGTTGATGGATCTGGAGTTATTCTGAGAGTGTCTGGGTCTACACAAGGGCGGAAATCCCATTTCAATTTTGGGGGGGGGGGGGGGGGGGGGGATAAACAGTAAAACTTTAGAGAGTAATTTTTGGGGGGGACATGAAAAAAAATGCTCTCTACATACAACACTGTATGTCCTTATAAGAGACTGACCTGTGACTCTGTGCCTGTGTCTGACAGGCTCTGGCTGCCTGTGCTCAAGTGACTGGACTTTGCCTAATGAAACCATTTAGAAACCATTTCATAGGCATTTCATTTCTTTCTTACAGATGTATTTATCAAAATGCAAGTTTCTACTTACTTGACATTCTGGAGCATTAAAAAACGACCTGATGGCTGCCGTTTTTCGTTTCTCTGCCATTTCAACTGACCTGCTCTGCTGACAGTTGGACAGCAACACACACACAGATGGGATATTGTCATTAGAACGGAGCTGGAGGATATTGATCAACAATAATATCTTGCCAATTTTGTACATCTCCATAAGCATCCTTTCTTTTTGTTTTCATTTCAATAACAAGACTGTGGCCTAAAACGGAATAAGCAATTCAGAATAAAGATTTAAACGTAGATCGTTAATAGTTAAAGCAACATGTCCTGAAATGACATGGCTATTAGCTGACCAACAGCTACACGTGTGGACGGATGCAAAGCATTAATTTTAAGTACTAAAACATATCTAAGTTTTTCACAACAAAGAGAGAGAACATAAATGTCAAATTAAAATGTTATTAAATCACATAACATGAAAGCTACTAAAATCCAAATAGTTCCATATTGATTTTAATATTTTTGAAATTTTCCTTCTAAATATGGCTAGAAAAAATAACAACCTTCAAATCAGCTTTCACAAGTCAAGTATCAAAATGACTGAAATCTCTTTAATAAATCATAGAAATGTTTGTAGGCTATTAGAGAATAACTCTGTAATATTTAATAACTGTATCTAAGTCCTGCTGAACGAAAAGATACACAAAATCTAAATATTTGTTTAATTTTATTAATAAAAATTGAAAACATTTACTTTATAAATACACTAAACATATACATACTCTGTAGTTTATCTTTCAGTTTAATCGATCTCTCACTTTTCTCAGGTTTCATAGTGTTTTTGGGTCTGTGTGGCCAACGGGATCTTTGGCTCTATGTTTTATACTGAGAGCTTTGAGCAACGTGCCTCCACCACACATTTGCTGCAACCAGTTCATCCCTAAGCTGCACGGTGCACCTGCACTTTGACATGTTGTAAACTACTGCAGCATTTGTTATTCCAGTCCGCGTGGCAGCGGATCGCAGATTCAGCCACACCATAAAACAGCAGTAAGTCAGTCTGACGCAAAAGTGAACCTCATGGCTTTTCCATCTTTTCCCCTATAGACATTTGATTACGCACAAGTAGGTGACCAGCTCAGGTTTACGCAGAGCAGAAGGAAGGAGAGCGCTCTGGCCGCACAGGTTAAACGTTCCTGCTTTAAGAAAACCGTTAAATTGCATTGTTTATGTGCTACCTGGGCACTCTAAATATTTATTTAAAATTAAATCAAAGGAAATTGTAATGGTATCAAATGCTTTTTACTATTTAAAAAATGAAAGTGATGGGGAAAAAGGTCGATCATATTTTTTAACCCTGTCTGTTTAGTGACTGTTTTGACGTCATAGACGACATAGAAGGGGGTGCACGGCTAAATAAGTTTGGGAAACGCTGGTCTAGTCCGATAGAAACAGGAACTGATGCTTAAATTCAAAGAACAGGTTATCCTCGTCACTGACAGATTTGGATACTAAAGCCATGAAGAAGAACATGCTGTCCTTAGTGAATAATCTATGTTAGTAAAGATCCATATGTCAGAATACCTGGGATTACAATAAATGGACTTTCTATTCTATTCTATGTCTCTAAGAATTATGTCTTGTTTCATCAGCAAGCCTGTAGTTAGAGTTTCATTAATCAGAACAAGTTTTCAGAGTAAATCAGCTTTACACGTTTTCAGTAATGTGATCCAAACGTTGTACCTGTGAACCAGATCCTACAGACCCTCAGGAAGGGTCCTAAGTATGCAGACCCTTTGCTCGGTATGTGGTAGAAGCTCCCTTTTGATCTAAAACAGCCATGAGTCTTCTTGGTAAAGGTGCAACAAGTTTCTTACACCTGGACTTGGGGATCCTCTGTCATTCCTCCTTGCAGATCCTCTCCAGTTCTGTCAGGTTAGACGGTGAACGTTGGTGGACGGCCATTTGGAGGTCTCTCCAGATATGTCAGGGCTCTGGCTGGGCCATTCAAGGACAGTCAGAGTTGCTGTGAAGCCACTCCTTTGTTATTTTACCTGTGTGCTTAGCGCCATTGTCATGTTGGAATGTAAACCTTCAGCCCAGTCTGAGGACCTGAACACTCTGGAGAAGGTTTTTGTCCAGGATATCCCTGAACTTGTCCACATTCATCATTCCCTCTGTCATAAAGCCCATGGTGGACCTTTGGGTTCTTCTTTACCTCTCTCATCAAGGCTCTTCTCCCTGGTTGCTCGGTTTGGCCGGATGGCCTGCTCTAGGAAGGGTTCTGGGTGTCCCAAAAATCTTCCATTTGAGGATTATGGAGGCCGCTGTTCTCTTAGGAACCTTTAGTGCAGCAGAGATTACTTTGTAACCTTGGCCAGATCTGTGCCTTGCCACAATTCTGTCCCTGAGCTCTTCTAGCAGTTCCTTTGACCTCATGGTTCTCATTTGCTCTGACATCCATCATAAACTGTAAGGTCTTATATAAACAGGTGTGTGACCGTCCTAATCAAGTCCAATCAGTATAATCAAACACAGCTGGTCTCCAGTGAAGGTGCAGGACCATCTCAAGGATGATCAGAATAAATGGAAAGCACCTGAGTTAAATACATGAGTGTCACAGCAAAGGGTCGGAATACTAAGGACCATGTGATGTTTCAGTTTGTCTTTTTTAATAAATCCGCCGAAATTTCTAACATTCTGTTTTTCTGTCAATGTGGGGTGTTGTGTTTACATTAATGAGGAAAACATTAATTTAATGGATTTTAGTAAATGGCTGCAACATAACAAGGAGTGAAAACTAGACAGGGTCTGAATACTTTCTGTACCATGCACTGTAAAACTTATTAGAACTGCTTTTGTAATTTTAATCCCAACGGACACAGAGATGTAAGTAAAATTACAGGTGCTCTACTCGAATCTATAATTTGTTTAAGAGATAATAAAAACTTCAGTTGAGAATGAAAAGATCGGGCATTGTTCCATAGTGGCTCTCTACCCATGAGGTCATTTTAATGTTTCAGTTGTAATCTTCCCAATATTTCAAAATAAAACGTCTAACAAAATGAAAAGATCCTCTGATGAGCAGCAACGTGTGAGTTTTGCTGAATTGATCTTTTCTCATCATCTAATTATATTAACCTTGTTTTACTCATGTGCCTCTCCGCTGCCTCTCTCAGATCAGTGTTATTCAGTTTTTGTGCTGAGTCGTTGCCTCTTGTGTCACTGTGGCTCTCGAGCACAATAATACACAGCAGAGTCTTCCTGTTTCAGACTCTTCACAGATAGATACACAACATTCTGTGAAGTATCTTTGGTGATTGAGAACTGGTGTTGGACACTTAATGCAAATATTGTTCCAGTTCCACCATCGATGCGACCGATCCATTCCAGTCCTTTTCCTGGTTTTTGACGAATCCAGTGCAGCCAGGCGAGAGGAAGTCCTTGTACTTGTCAGGACAGAGAGGCTGGCTCTCCTGCTCTGTGGACCACTGGCTCTGAGGAGGTGAGGGACTGACCCCGAGCAGCTGGAGGAGAACACGGTTTAGAGGAAAGCAGACATCAGAGAGGTCCTTTTATTCTCTCAGCTGGAGACAAACTTCACTCACCCGAAAAAAGAGTCAGAAGAAGGAAACTCTGCAGGAGCATCATGGTGACGACTGAGCCTCAGAGAGTAAACTGAAGGATGTTTAAAGCACCAAGAGACAGGGTGGAGATTCATTTACATATCTGAATATGACAGCAGCATTTTACATGAAAGAGCTGTTTAGTGATAATTTTATATGCAAATATTTGTGTTAAAAGCAACATTATATGTTTCAGATTATTCTTCATATTGTTTATGATAAAAATGGTTAATGTGATTGTAAGGCACATAATTAAGTCAGAGGACTCCAGAGCACCACAGGCAGGGGTTTGATTTTTGCATTAACAAGAGTCCCTCTGTCCTTAAGTCTGACATTTGGTGCTTTTTTTATTCATGTAGCATTTTATTAATATCATTAGACACTATTCAGGAAAAGTAAAACACATTTTCCAGCAGATGAAAAAGTGTTATTGTAGTATGAAAAACTCATAAAGTTTTTTATTTGTTTTGTTTTCCAGTTATTTCTCTCAACCTGTTGAACCGCTGGAAGGACAATCAACAAAATACTTGGATTCTTGAAGAATTTACCCTTAAAGGTTGTTGGCTATTCTGGGAATTTAATTTCTTTTGTCGTGTCTGTTTCAGCGTGTGGGTTTAAAATGAAGATTTCAACGCTGCATAACCCATTAAATAATAAAGTCCACTGGTCTGGGAATCATTAATGGTCTGAGCGCTCCTCTTCTGGTGATGGATTGCATCTGCCTTCAGACTCTGAGGGGTTTTAGTTCAGCTGTTCTGATGTTTGTGCCACTGTGGCTCTCTGGCACAGTAATACACAGCAGAGTCTTCAGGCTGCATGTTCTGTCCAATCAGATTCACTGTCTTACTGGAAGAGTCTAAATCAATGTTGAACTTGTTCTTCAGTGACTCTTTATGGCGAGAGTCTCCAGCAGATTTCCACCCGATCCATTCCAGTCCTTTTCCTGCGGGCTGTCTGATCCAAGCTGTTGCATACCTCCTGACATCATAAGAGACCTGACAGCTGATGGTCAGACGCTGACCTGGCTGCACAGTCACAGAGGCTGGCTGAGTCAGCTGTTCACACTTCACACCTGAGGAGGAAAACATCATGAATCAGTCACAACAGTAAACAGTCAGTAAGTCTGATCAGACGGTTTGTGTCTCAGTCACACTCACAGGATCCAGCAGCCAGCAGCAGCAGCAGTCCTGTTCTACAGTCCATCATGTTCAAATGTCGTTTGCTGTTTTCTGTCGTCCCTCTAGATAAATAAGAGCTGGAAGATGTTTTACATGAACTCCTCCTCACAGGAAGATGACTTATGGATCAGAATCAGACTGAAAATGAGATGTTTTATCTTCTTTTTTTCCTGTTTTTAACAAATGATTAACATTACTGTAGAGGAATAGATTATTTAAAATCTGCATTTATCAGTTTGAACCGTTTTTGTGTAACTGCCTTACAAGTAATGCAATATTTTACCTTTTTTCTTTAGGTTTGTTTTAAATGTCTAATTTGTTCTTCCTTTGGAATTAGAAACTCTCTATAAATGGACTTTTTCAACTATCTTTATTGCAGGTTTTGGAGGACAAATGTGTGTTCTCAGCATGAAAAATAAGTTAATTAGAATGATTTGTGAGTCTGTAATAAAATAATTTTAGATAATATTATTGTAGTCTTTATATTCATAATTTTAGTTCTTTAACAACATTAACGTTTGGTTCCTTGTGTTTACCTCAGTTGTTACTGTGTTGTTCCAGCGGTGTGATGGCGCCTCCTGTGGTGGCTTCATGTAAAAACCACTGAGGAGAATTTGTTCAGCGTTTCTGCTTTTCTGTGTCACTGTGGCTCTCGAGCACAATAATAAACAGCAGAATCCTCAGAGGTCAGAGTGTTCATCTGCAGATACACCTGATTTCTGCTGTTCTCTCTGGAGATGGAGAACCGGCCTTGGACTGACTGAGAGTAGAAGACGCTACCACTGCTGTAGATAATAGCAATCCACTCCAGTCCTTTTCCAGCTGCCTGTCTGATCCAGGCCATTCCATAGCTGCTGAATGTGAAACCAGAACCAGTACAGGTGAGTCTGTGGGGTTCTCCAGGTCTTTTAACCACTGGTTCAGACTCAGTCAGTGTCTGACCCTCAGTACCTACAGACAGATGCTGCATTAGCTGCTGTAATCTGAAGAGTTTCTATTGATTCTAATGCTTCCTTCTTACCAGTCCAGTAAACAGACAGGATGAGTAAAACAATCCCAAGCTCAGGTCTGATCGTTGCAGCAGCCATTTGTCTCTGATCAGTCTACAGTGAGTTTGTCACTGATTTGGTCAGAGTCTTAAACTCTGTAACATGTAAAGATGGAGGCAAACATACTTTGCATCAGCTCCTCCCCTCACACACACACACACACACACACACACACACACACACACACACACACACACACACACACACACACACACACACACACACACACACACACACACACACACACACAACTCATGCAACTCATTTAATAATTTTTTAGATAGTGTCTAAACCTGCAGCTGTGAGGTTCTGTGTGTGTGTGTGTGTGTGTGTGGATCCTCACCTCTTCTCCTCAGGTGTGACAGGCAGGCTGCACCAGGTGCCATCAATCAGAGGCGATTAAGGTGGAGCACTTAAAAGCAGGCCGGAGGAGAAGATCAGATGCCAGGACAAGAAAACTGGGCGTTCCGTAGAAACAGGAAGAGAGCAGTAGCGAGCGCGGGAGCGAAATTTGAAAGATTACGGTTTGTTTCTGGATTTTGACGACGGATTTCGGATCACGGACTTTGGTGGTTGGCATAAGCTGGTGTGTTACAGTTTTAGTCCATTGCTTGAACACATTTTGCAAAACTTGGCTCATGGTGCCAAAACTCCATACACAAGGAAGTACGGAAGAACACTGGGAAATAAACCATTCACATCTATGCCAGATACAAACTCTGCCATCAAAACTGAACAATCCTTTGTCAAAACCTCACTTTGATGACTAAATGATGCCCACTTCCACATGTCAATACACTGTCATATCTGCGGCAACACACTAGTCTACTTTAAATAAAACACTGCAGTCTTTCACTTGTACTGCATTTATTCAGTTACAATTCCAGATGTTTCTCATAATTCCAAAAATAAAATACTGAAATCAACATTACTGCAATTACATTACAGTAGTGAAATTCATATGACAGGAAATGCAGTTACTGTAAAGCAAAAATAAAACAAACTGAACTTCACTCAAAAGAAGTTACATGTATGGATCCTGCCATCTGTCGGGGTCGGGCCACAGGACCTCGTCCACATCGCAAGCAATATCTTCTCCGGCTAAACATCGGGGAAAAAATCCCCTTGTGTGTCTAATCCATCCCTGATTTGACCTGATTTCAATATCTCCGCAGGCCTGTTCCATTGCTTGTGAAAGTGGCATTCGGGCGTGGGGTTGGCGGTCATATACGCGCCATCTCCATGCTGAAAAGAACTCCTCTATAGGATTCAAAAATGGGGAGTAAGGGGGCAAGTACACCACTTCAAATCCTTCATGATGAGTAAACCAGTCTTGGACCAGAGCAGCCCGGTGGAAACTAACATTATGCCACACAACAACAAACCTGGGCTGCTCTGGTCTATTCTGTATGACGATGCCATGTAGACCATCAAGAAATGTGAGTATTTCCTGTGAATTGTAGGGCCCCAATTTGGCATGACGGTGCAGTAGCCCTTGAAGCCTAATGGCAGCACACAATGTAATATTTCCTCCACGTTGCCCAGGGACGTGCACAATTGCCCTTCGGCCAATAAGATTATGCCCCCGTCGTCCGTTTTTTGTCAGATTGAATCCAGCCTCATCGATGTAAATACACTCATGAGGCTGAGCAGCTCCATCCGTGGCGAGCATCCTCTGCAAGAAAAAGTACATATTACTGTACAGTACTGTATGGATGGCATTACTCAAAGTACACAACTACACTGATACAGAATTGAACCACCTCATCACACAGGGTCCGGTTTAGCTTTCTGAATATACAGTGTCAATGTGGTACTGATCCAATGGTATTTGACTGCTCCTCTTTTGTATTGTAAATGTAGAGGACTGAAACACTTACCTGTACGAATTCACGTCGAAGTTCCTTCACTCTGGCATTGTTCCTTTGAAATGGAACCCTGTACAGTTGTTTCATTGTAATATAGTGCTTTGTCAAGATGCGTCTAATGGTGGTAATGCATACTGTATTTATATTGCCAAAACTCTGTCCATCTGCAATTATGTGACTCTGTAGCTGGTGGAGACGGATCGCATTATTTGCCCTGACCATGTCCACTAATGCAAGTTCTTGTTGTTCAGTAAATAGGCGTTGACGTCCACCGCCAGTAGGTCTTCTGATGATTCTGTAGAAAACAATGCAACCAGTATTTGGAATCGTTTTGTTCTATTTTTCAGCACTATACAAACTGTATTTTACTGTATTTACTGTACTTGTATTACAGTACTGTACAACATCTCAAGACATGATTATATGTGTCACAACACAAGGACCCACCCTTCAGTACAGTACTGGTGTAACAGTACATGTATGTTACATATACATGTAAGATGAGACAGTACTGTAAATACTCGAGCTACATTACTGTAGTAGAGGAATTGAAGACATACCTGTTTTCCTGTCTGAATGTCCTTATGATGGATGCGACCGTGAAACGGCTAAGATTGGGGTGGACTCTCTGTCCAGCTTCCCTCATGGTCAGACCATGGTTTATGACATGGTCCACCACAGTTGCCCTAATGTCATCAGAAATTATGGTCCTTGCACGGCCTCTTCGTCCACATCCTCCTCTTGCTCTGCCTCTAGCTCTCCCCCCTCCATGCTGGCAAGTTCTCCAAAATGGCTTAGCTAAGGCCTTTTTGTAGCTGACTGATTGGTGTTCAGTTTTGTTAGTAATTGTTTTCAATGACAGACTGTGTTTTGTATTTTGAATAGCTGTATTTTCCCAATGGTATTGCGAGATTTACTTTTTGAACAAAGTGCTTTATGTATGAAATAGTGTGTTGTGAGCAGGAGCAAGTGCGTTGTAGAAAGGAGCTAGTGTTTTGCAGAATTGCAACCAAAGGAGATCAGTTCTGATGAAGGTACAAATGTTGTCCGGAAAAAGATAGTTAGAGAATAGTTTTGAGTTGTTCAGAGCATCTCTGGTTGCTTATCAGGATGCTTTGAGGGCTGCCAGAACGGCCTATTTTGCAGACATCATTGAAACAAACTCCAATAATCCTAAGATTCTCTACAAAACGCTAAACTCTGTTCTGGTGTATCAGAAGCCTAGCTTAATGTCTCCTACAGCTGCTGGAAACTCTGAAGCTTTTCACAGATTCTTTGTAGATAAAGTGTCAGGCATTAGAGCAGCTATTTCTGGTAACTCTGTTGACCCTGTTCCAGTTCCTCCATAACCACCCACCCTGAGCTCCCTCAATACTGTGTCATATTCTGAGCTGAGTAAGCTAGTTGCGAGGCAGAAGCCATCTGGCTCTCCACTTGACGTTCTGCCGCCTCGTCTCTGGAAGGCTGCCTTTCCGTGCCTTGGCCCTTCACTTGGTCAGATTATCAATGGGAGCCTCAGCACAGGTGTGGTCCCAGCTGCTTTGAAAGCAGCAGTTATTCGGCCGACCCTGAAGAAACCTGGTGCTGATGTCTCTGTGATAGAAAATTACAGGCCTATCTCTACCCTGCCCTTTACATCTAAACTGCTTGAGAAAGTCGATTATCAGCAGCTGGTCTCACATTTAGCTGACTCTGATCTGTTTGAGGTTTTCCAATCAGGGTTCAGGTCTGGCCATAGCACAGATTCAGCTCTACTGAGGGTCCTAAATGACATCTATCTATCACTAGATCAGGGTACATCTGTGGTGCTTCTGTTGTTAGAACTGACAGCAGCCTTTGACACAGTTGACCACGCGATTCTAGTGGATCGCCTGGAACGATGGGTTGGGATCAAAGGGTAAGCTCTGGATTGGTTTAGATCGTATCTCCACAACAGGACATTCTGTGTTAAACTGGGTGATGTTTTTTTCTTCTTGGGAGGGGCTCCGCTGGGGGGTCCCGCAGGGATCGATCCTTGGTCCTCTTTTGTTTGCCATTTATCTGCTACCTCTGGGGTCAATTTTTCGTAAACATGGCCTATCATTCCATCTCTATGCTGACGATTGCCAGATTTACTCTCCATTGTGTCAGGAGAAAGGTCACTCTATCCAGTCCTTTGTGTCCTGTGTTATTGAGGTGAAGTCTTGGCTAATGGCCAACTATCTACATCGGAATGAGGGAAAGACAGAGCTCATTGTTTTTCACCCCAACAGCAGGAATGTGGATCGTTACAGTGGGGCAAAAAAGTATTTAGTCAGCCACCGATTGTGCAAGTTCTCCCACTTAAAATAATGACAGAGGTCAGTAATTTTCATCATAGGTACACTTCAACTGTGAGAGACGGAATGTGAAAAAAAATCCATGAATTCACATGGCAGGATTTTTAAAGAATTTATTTGTAAATCAGGGTGGAAAGTAAGTGTTTGGTAAATAACAAAAGTTCAACTCAATACTTTGTAACATAACCTTTGTTGGCAATAACAGAAGTCAAACGATTACTATAGGTCTTTACCAGGTTTGCACACACAGTAGCTGGTATTTTGGCCCGTTCCTCCATGTAGATCTTCTCGAGAGCAGTGATGTTTTGGGGCTGTTGCCGAGCAACACAGACTTTCAACTCCCTCCACAGATTTTCTATGGGGTTGAGGTCTGGAGACTGGCTAGGCCACTCCAGGACTTTCAAATGCTTCTTACGGAGCCACTCCTTTGTTGCCCTCACATACAGCACAGAATTATATCGATCACTATTATAACTTTGTAAAAATATATACAGATGCATCTAAAGATACTGCGGATCGTATTGGTATAGCTTTTATTGTTCCTGAGTTTCATGTTACAGTAAAAAAAAGGGTGAGTGGTGGATTGTCAGTGTACACAGGAGAAATGTTCACAATACTGTTAGCTGTTCAATGGGTGGAAGAACACAGACCATTATTCTCAGTTATTTGTTCAGACTCCAGCTCTTCATTGACCAGTTTATGGTGCAGCCATTCAGAAAGCAGACCTGACGTACTCATAGAGATTCAGCAAACACTTTATAGAATATACATGATGGGACTTACAATACGTGTTTTATGGATTCCAGCTCATTATGGAATCAGAGGGAATGAAGAAGTCGATAAGGTGGCTAAGGACGCCACAATAAGTACATCGGTTCAGTTGGATTTTCCATGTTGTC